TTTTAATATTAAAACCTTAAACTTCGAATGTTCAAAATTATTTTGTTGGACATTAAAGGAGCAATAGTAACCCACTCCCTTGAGTGTTAAAGAAATAACATTTTATTTTTAATTTCCATGCGTGTAAATTAATTTTTGTGGTTAATTATTCTACGAAAGTAAAATCGGGACGTAAGTCGAATGCAAGTGGAGAATAATAGAAGCTTCGTTTACGTTCGTTACTCTCCCTTTACATTCGGCATTATACTTTCCGATTTTTATTTTCGCCAAGGTATAAAGTAAACAATGTTCATATTAATGTATGCACTTATAGGTAAATAATAGAATAAGTTTGAGTTTTTAATATATATTTTTTTAGCTAAATTGTTTAACCTTATTTTTTTAATTAAATTGTTTAATCTTATTTTTTTAGTTAAACTGACGCTTATATTATTATAAATAGGAGCAGTGACAACTTGTGGAAATAATTAAAATAACTGAAATTGGTTATAACTCTCTCTTGACATTAGAACTTATAGGTAACTTCGAAAATTCGAATTTTTTTGAAGCTTTGAATCTTTGAAATTATCAAAAATAACAAGATCTAATCAGTATACAATACATTACGGCACATTATTATTTGTGTATTCTTATAAATTACTTTTATCATACAAAGCCTATACGAGTAGAGAGAAATCAGGATATATCATACATAGATACTTATAATGATAAAACAACTTATAGAATGACCAAAGATTCATGGTAGCCTGATATCATCGGGAAAGAACAACCTCAACATCGATCTTGAGGAGCAATCGGTTATCACAACCATCACAGGCTTCGAAGAAGTAAACACATTTGTATTTTTATCGCTAAAATAAACTCACATAATGTTACAATAAATTCAAAATTGATACAATGAAAATTTGTTTTGTAAAATATATTATTTATTCCTTTTTTTACTAATAAGTTATCTTGATATTATAATAATTAAAAAGAAACTTGTTTTTACTATCTTTTAACTCTTCACCGCTTATTTGATGTATTTGAGGCTACCTTATCTTACGTCTAAGAATAACCAGAAATTCACATGGTAGCCTGATATCTTTGAAAAGCACTATGTTTTCTTGAGCATCAACCGAGAGTAAAAACGAGACAAAAAGAACACTCTTAAATAGGAGTTAAAACAGCAAAAAATGTGTTTAATATTGAATAATTATTTGTACGTAATATGTAGGTAATATTATTACTCGTATCCTCTTATAAATACTTTTATTATATGAAGTCAGAAAGCGGGATATATTATGTTTATACAAAACATTTGTGTTTTTATCGCTAAATTGAACTTACAGGATGGTATTATCTTACATGATTGATAAAACAAAAATTTTGTATTATAAAATGACTTGTGTATTATATATTATTTGATTATTTTTTTAACTGTTAGATGAAATTAACTTTACATATATGAAAAATAATAATTAAGAAAAAATGTGAGACTGTCTTGTTCTACGTTCGAGAATAATCAAAAATTCATGGTAGCCTGATAACTTCGGCGAGAAAATGAGCCTCGATATCAAGAGAGATTACTGGATAAAGACTGATATAAACAAAATACGAAAAAAGCAACTTCATAAAATTGTATTAAAAATAGTACAAAATGATAGCCGTGGTGGATAAGGAATAATTATTTACATGTACATAACATTTTACAAGTAATATCATACTTGTTTAAAATGTTTAAATACTTTCGTTATTGAATTTAGAAAGTAAAACATGTGATGTTCGCAAAAATAAAACACTTGCATTTTTATCGCTAGAATGATATTAATCCAAAACATTATATAACACACAAATTTATTGTAAAATATTGTGACCTATTTACAAAAAGTTGTTTTGACATGTAGAGAATATAATAGTCAAAAAGGAATATTTATTACTTTTACTTTTTTTTAATTATTGTAAACATATTACTTATTATTTTCGTAACCATTATGTTAAATATTTAGAAAATATTTACTACTATTTGCGTTTTAATTATCATATTATTTTTTACTTCGACATACCATAGAACAGATTGCAAACTAATACAAATAAATTTGAACGTTTTTATTTTCATAATCGCACAAGTAATTGTACAACATGCAATTTGTAAAACTGAAATATTTTACTATTTATAAAAAAGTTATAAGTAACTTTAATTATATTTTATATTAATTTTCCAATTTTCATAAACATCATATTTTAAATTTATTTTAATTAAAGTTGTTCACTTTCCTAATTGTCTAATAAGAAATAATACAATACAATACTTTACCTTAAGACTACAATTCCTTTATTATTTTCTTATAATTAAGAGTTTATTATAGAAAAAAAGTGTTTTCCTATTGGAAATTATTGAAATTTCCTATTTGAAACTATTTTATTAACAATCTAAGCACCACGTGCAATGTCCATTGTGTATAACATAATGGAGATTCTTTTCTCCGATGACATGTCTTTAACAACTAGAAGAAATAAGGGATAAGGAAAGATTAGTGAATACCTAATAGGGTAAGAGGAGTGAGCGCCATGACCTTTACAGTACACGGGAAAATTACAGGGAAAATTACCTGAGCTGAAAATTGTAAGGTTACATCGGAGTAAAACTTTCCTACTGCACGCTCCTACTTCCCTAGTAATATATTTAATATTACTTGATGTTTACGTTAAATTATTAAATTAAACAATACGCTGACCCGGTTACGATGCATTAATGATAAAATGCACGAAGGTATGCGTATTATACATGATCTCGCCCAAATTATATTCGATCCATTCTCCACTCGCTCACGAAATTGATCTTCTGTCGCGAGCGACGCGCATCCTTCTACGTTTCGCACCAAAGGATTCAATAATGTAAGAAAAAAAAAAAGCGAAGAAAGAAAGGAAAGGCAAGGAAAAGGCACGCACATTTAATTGATTATTTGTATACTACTTGTAAAGATACCGGTGAAGGTTCAATACACGTAACAATCAAAACGTGCGTTTCGGGACGTTCATACTCCAGGTTCAGTATGCTTTCCTGGTATACGAGCACCACTTAGCACACCCTCTGGATTCCCATGGGACGTGTATTAATGAAAATCAAACTAGTTTCCGATCAATAAAGTTAATTTGACTCACGTCACGTTGTTCATCGTCCATCTTTAGAATGATAAGACTTTAAACCGTTACTACGAGATATTGCTAAAACGTTTATAATTGGCTCTCTCACAGATAATCAATTGCGATTTTTTTGACTTGATGCAATTTCAGCGTTGCTACAGATTTGAACTTCTATCATTACCTAACCCCTAATTAGGTTTCCCAAATAAGCGCTTTTATTTTATTTTACTTTGTTCGGTCTTATGTTTTGAATATGCGCGTATTTCAAACATAAGCATACTTTAAAGTCGTTTAAACGATACTTATAGACCGTTTAAAATACACTTTGAAATACACCTACATATGTAAAGTATAAAGAAAAACGGTCTATAGCGAACGATAATAAAGTTTCAATAAATTTCTATAAGTTTACAATATTAATATTTATGTTCTTTATATTAATATTGTAAAGTAAATTTATAGAAATTTATTAAAACCTTATTACCGCTCAATTTAGACCATTTTTCTTTATACTTTGCAAAAAACGAGCGAAATTAAATTATCTACATACGTGTTTGTAAGAAAAAAACTGCTTATTGAATTAATTTCGACGACAGTACGTTCCTAATTTTTATACTTGATAGAAATGAAAAGTCTTCATAAATCTCCATTTTATCAAATTACGATATAATACACTATAGCTACAAAACTATTATATCAGAATCATATTAATCGATGATAAACTGCTAAACAATGTTACTTCTTTTTATTTAAATCTTTCTACTTAAAAAACTTTCTTTCACGCAATAAATATGCTTACAGATACATGCACTATATGTACACATTTATACTCTTTTTTTTCTATGGAATCAGACACAAATCTTTTAAAAATCTGCTTCAATTAATTTATAGTAACCCTTTTTGTATAAAAATAAACAACACTAAGAAAAGAGCAATGTAAAAGTCAAATAATCGAATTAATGTAACGTCTAGTCAAAACAAAATTTTAGAAAACATAATTGATCCATAAATATAAAAAAATATTTTAATTAATTATATTTTTAATATTTTGTTTTGACTAAACGTTACATTAATTGTTTGATTTTTTTACATTGATCTTTTCTTAATATTTTTTACTTAAATATAATATACAATAAACAATATTCAATTAAAGACCGTCAATGTAACAACATAATACGAATACAAAGCTTATAACAGTCTAGTTTGGATCTTAGTTGCTTATATGTAATTTCGCGTTTAGTAATTTATATACTAATATGTGCAGTCTTTCTAAACTGCGCGACGAACGATAATATATAATAATTATTTCGTGTTATAAATTACATATATCTTGTCGCTTGTGTTTTATTAATTAAAGCTTATACTTACATTTTACAAATCAATTTTAGATAAAAATAATAAATAGCACAATATACATAACATAAATTTAAATAATAATATTTAATAATAATAACATGTATGTACATATACTGTGTATTGATTGGTAAGACAGATCAGTACAAATTAGAAACCCCCATAGTACATGGGGGCGTAGCTCAGATGGTAGAGCGCTCGCTTAGCATGCGAGAGGTACCGGGATCGATACCCGGCGCCTCCAACCTTTTTTTATTCTAAATTTGTTATGTTAAAGTTGACATTATTATATATTTATCACATAAATTATTCTACTTTTTTATTTTACTTAAATATATTATTTATACATAATTAATGTAATTAAGATATGTATACACGAATATAAGTCTCTTTGTTTAAGATGTATAAATTACATTTTTTATTTTTCTCTTCTCTCCTTCGATATTCTGTCATATCTATTTTCTGTTTTGCAATTTAATTTCACAAGTTAACTTCTTTTTATTAAAATTGTTAATTGAAAAATGAAACATGCTTGTGCTGCAGGATTAACGAAAGCTAATACTAGCACACTACTGAATCCGGAGCATTATTATAATGGCGCCGAGAGATTATACTGTCCAGCGAACGCTTATGTCGGGAATCAACCGGTCGACCGACAAGACAGTTTTCTGCGACTGAGACAACTAAGATCAGAGATGGTTCGAGTAGCAGCAATTAAAGGGCCAGCTCTCGATGGTTACATCGTCACATCGGATGACGAACACCAAGTGAGTTTTATGCTGTTCGACGAAATTAATTCCACTCGATATTAATAATTATGCCTTACCTGTCTAGAATAATTAATAGATTCAAGTGCTTAATTATAAAAATTAAGGCATTGGATATGACGATAATTGTTTTTCATTTATCACATTAAAATAAAGAAAATCGATATGTATAAGTATCATATGTATTATCAAAATTGTATCACTGTAATCGCTTACTCTTATCGAGAAACAAGTGATTTAATATAAATTATAATATTTATCACTACGTCATATTTATATAAAAATCAAGCCTAATGTCTAATATTATTTTTACATCAAATTATCTAACCGATTGGTAACGATACCGATATGTCCATATTGTTTTGAATCAATTAATATGTATATAACGTATTAAATATTATTTCTCTCATTATGTTTAAATTTTCAGACAGTGAGCTTCATATCTCATGGCCATGATGGCCCCGTGGAGGTATATTCTCCGTGTTGTATCATATTTGAAAGCTTCTCTTAATATAAAGAATAACATTTTGCAATTTAATTACCCTGGTTGATACCCTAAACAACCATTCCGTATTTACTAAAATATTTAAAATTTAAGTTTTATTTGATTTTGAGTGCAGTGTCCAATTCTTTAAATCCATGTTTCCCGCCAGCATAAACATTTTACAAATTTAAGATTTAATAAAATAAGAAAAACGTTCTTAAATTACCTATTATCAGACAATAAAGTAAAAAATAAAAACACATTTAAATATTATATTACTGTTAATCGACTGTTTATCGATGACAAAGCAATTGGGGGACATCGATTTAAGTTAAAAAGATGTTATAGCTTTATCCATATTTTAATACTCATTGAATACAAAAATTCTTTTTTAAATGACAGTTGATATTAATAGCCTCTAGCTGTTAATACACATAATATGTTAATATCTATATCAATTTATTATTTTATTAATAAAACAAATTGTTTACACATAGAGCGAGGCTGTGGATCCACACGACATGAGAAGAGAATTTCTTACTGGATTCCACGGAAGCGCTGGGGAAGCTATAGTCACTATTGACAAGGCAGTACTTTGGACTGATGGTCGATATCATATCCAAGCAAATCATCAGCTGGACTGTAACTGGATTTTAATGAAGCGAGGTGAACATGACGTGCGTAAATTAATTTAAATATTCTCATTTATTTCCGCATCAACAAAGTCTTTATTTTATATTTTTGCATACTTATCAATTATTAATTTATTATTTATGTATTATACATATATACAATACTCTCTCTCTCTCTTCTCTCTCTCGCTCTCTCTCTTTCTTGTCATTAATAAAATTCACAAAAATAAACAAAATGCCAATGTAAGCCGACACAGGTTATTGATGTACACTTTTCTTACAATTTATTAAAAATAAATAAAACGTATACATTTCTCGATCTATGGTGCTCCTCACAAAATAATATAAAACTAACAATTAAACGCAAAATTAAGATTATGATGGTAGCGCATACAACTATACATGCACTTAATTAAATTCAAATGGTAATGTCCAAATTCAAGTCAAAACTTGTTCATCAAATTGTTAAACAGCTCAACAGCTATTTATATGACTATATATTAATTTAAAAATAACAATAAAATTTAGAATCAAATCAATATAACAATAAATGGTTTCGTTTTTGTAACTATATATTTACTCATAGTTTCATTAAAATTTTTTAATAATTACGTTAAAAATAATATTATAAAAATATATTATTATATAAAGTTCTTATTGTTTCAAAAAAAATATATTAAATTATATACTTTTTTTTATCCAATAAATTCTACTTTTGTTCTAATGATAAAAGTGCTTTCTACGTTATCATCATCCTCTTCTAGTCACTATTCTGACGAGTAACCTCATCGGTTCCGAGATGGCGATACTATCAGAATTTACTTTTAACTGTTCTGTAATCTACTAGATGGCTCCGCAGAAAGTTATTTTCTCGTATTTAAAATGTGACCACGACTACTATATCTAGAGGCGATATAGCGAGGAAATTTTAAGATCATGCTTCACAGGATCAGTTCTGTAGGAGTTGATCTCATTCTCCCTCCCTAACATGGGAGTTGATGTAACCATGATGAGGAGAAGCAGCTCTCTTCTCTGAGCGTGAGAACGACATGAGTTCCCGACTTGTTTCGAGAACTCTGTCATCAATGATCGTTCGCTCTTCGCATTCAATGCGAGGGGAATGGGAAGAAGGGCGTTCTGAGTGGTTACTTTTTTTTATTTAAATTTAAACATAAATTTTATTCTTTTTAGTGGATGTGTATCGTAGACAATGGCTATGTTTACACCGTGCATTTAGGCCGCGGCCTAAACAATAGAATGTCCTTTTGTTTATCCTATAGGTTAAACAAAAACGTAGTCATAGTATATAAATATATAGATAAACCGAGCATGCGGCGGGAGGGAACACAATTTATACCGACCAGTACGAACCACGTTACTTTGACTTTATAAAGCGTAATAATATTTAAAAAAATTACATCACATTACGAATATATTAAAAAGGATAAACATGATCCTTTCAGTAACATAAAAAATTTGCGATAAACGTTAAATTAAATTATAAATTTTAAAAATTATAGAAACAGTTTTATAATATATTTTTTTTAACATTTTTTATAATAAATATGTTTTTCAATATTTTCATAAATCTTTTTAGGTACCAACGATAACGGAATGGTTAATACAAGAGTTTCAAAATCGATCAGAAGTACGTATTGGTGCCAATCCGAAACTAATACCTGCATTTACGTGGGAGACATGGGAGCACGAATTGGGTAACGAAAAATATTTTTTGTATACTATTAAAAATTTCTTTATTGCGATATTGGTAATAAATACTTTTTTTCGGTTTATTTTTAAGTTTTTCAAAATAAATTCTATAATTATCGTCAAAATTGCCAAGACAAATCCAATCTTCTTTCACCGCGACTAACAATCCTATTCGTATTCAGTGAATTCGTCCGTAAGATTGGTCGCAGTCCATAACGACCTGGTGGACTTGATCTGGCAGGTGGGTCGACCTGAGTACAATCCACACGCGGCGTATCCGCTGACGGACGAGTACTCCGGTAAACCGTGGCAGGAGAAAGTTCAGAATATCCGGCTAGAAATGGAGTATTCTTCGGTCGACGCGCTCATCGTCACCGCACTGGATGAGATAGCGTGGCTATTTAACGTCCGTGGCTACGATTTACCACACACACCCGTCCTCAGGGCTTACACAATTGTCACTCACGAGTCCCTGCATCTTTATGCACCACGCCAAAAGATCCTGCGATCCGTCGATATACATCTAAAAATCGACTCCTGTTCCCATGCAAATTGTGTCAAGTAAGTAATGATTAGTAGAGTCTGGAAATTACCGTGTGTCAAGCAACTTTTAACAAATAAAATAAGAAATAAAACAACAGACAAGAATGAAGATTTCTAATATAAAAGTAGAATTCGTTGTACTTTGAATTAAAAAAAAAAAAAGAGATTTCCAAATGTTACAAAAAATCATGATACTTCTTAGTTCCTGTAAATTATAAAAATTATCATAGTAGTAAGATCCAGCAGATTTGTATAATGACCGAATTTTTACAGATGGCATAATTACACAGATATTTGGTACGATTTAAGGACTATGTCTCAAGCCTGGAATACAGTGTGGCTCCCATCACCGTACGGTTACTCACCAGGAGCGTCCAAAGAAATATACAATTCCGTAAGTGTAATCGCGAAGACGACGGTTTTGCATATATCTCAAGCACGAGAATACGTATAATATACATATTATATCTTTGAATAAGCAGATCCCCAAAATCAGTTCTTCAGTATTACTTTATCTCAAGCTAAATATCGAGTTTATATATTGTAGTTTAATCTATCTAGACTGATATTATTTTTAGACTAAAATATTTTGAAATGAAAAAACCATTTTTCCTCTCTCTCTTACAAGTAATGATTATAAAAACTATAATTAGCTTTAACTTACGCAATTCAATATTGTATAAATCAATAATGCAGATTGATGAGCGAAAATGGAAAATGATTAAAACGAATATAAAAGAATAGAAACCTAACCAAAACTTTAAGTATAGATATAATTGGAACAACAAAATATATTGGGGTGTTTATTTCTTAAAACGCTTTTTTTTATTTTTATTGTTCCAATTTAATACATTCCTTAGAAATTTTACTTACACTTCTGTCATTCTTTCCTTACATTCAACTTATGTTTTGATTTTTATTTCTATCAGAATTGAATTATTTATATTCCAACTAAATATTATGTATTTTGTATTAATTATCATGTCCAATAATGTAAAAAATTGGTTATTTTTTATTCTGATTAAAATACCTGCAAGATTAATTTTTTTCTACAATTTACATGTTGATAAGTACTCTTCTTTCTAAAAAATATTTTAAGCAAATTATTAATTTTTTGAAAAATAAAATAGCGAATTAAATAGAAGTATCCAGACGCGAATACATCCAACACGCAAGAATCTTTTTCGCAGATTCCACCAGAAAAAAGATTTGTTAAGGCCTCACCTATAATTGATCTAAAAGCGGAGAAAAACAAAGTCGAAGTGGCAGGTATGAGAAGATCTCATCTGAGGGATGCAATGGCCATGTGTGATTTCCTGGCTTACATGGAAGAGCAGTACAAATTAGACTCTGAAGGATGGGACGAGATGCAAGTGGTGAGAGTGATCAATGAAATTCGTTACGAACAAGATGGCAATAGGGGTATCGCATTCCCGACAATAGTAGGGTACGGACCGCACGCTGCTATGCCGCATTACGAACCGAATAACTTGACCAACATTAAAATCGGGACCACGTCCACACTAGTGATCGACTCTGGAGGACAATACTTGGGTACGAAATTCTGATTCCCTTTATTCTACTTTACTAGGAAATAGCAAGTCAAATTGAATGGAACAAAAAAAAGAACTAATTTTAAATTCAAGATTTACTTTAATATAAAATTCGAAAACATTTAATAATTCTTTTTTACGCTTCCTCCAATTCTTTATTCACTCACAAGTAGTCGAAAAGTATGAGTAAAATTATTTAACAGATGGTACCACAGACGTGACCAGAACTCTTCACTTGGGAGTGCCGACTGATGAACAGAAAAAAGCCTACACGAGAGTGCTGATCGGTTCGATTGAATTATCGTCTTTGATCTTTCCCAATGATCTACCGGCAGAGCAATTGGATATTATTGCGCGTAGGTCGTTGTGGAGCAGCGGTTACAATTACATGCATGGCACTGGTCACGGAATCGGTCATTTTTCTTCAGTTCACGAATGTTCGTAATCTACAGTTTCCTGTAAAATAATTGCGTCACGAGAATATGGAATACAATTGATGAAAGCCATTCTAGTGGAACAATACGCGTTGCAGCGCCTATCAGCTTGTCGTATTACGGATGCAAAAATTCAGGATGTTCCATCAAGTTGAAGCCAGGATTCTTTTTTTCAAACGAACCGGGGTATTACAAAGAAGACGATTTTGGTGTTCGTTTGGAGAATATCCTTGAAGTAATTCCGGCTGATAAATTGGTATATCTTTTGATACATTCTTATCTATTGTATAACTGCATATGTAATTAATTATTAATACGAAATACATAATGACACAGCTGTTTTATATATTTCGTATTAAAAATTAATTACCAGTTTTTAATTAGTAGCTGATAATTGTTTCAGTCTTATAATGGGCAAAGATTTCTCAAATTCAGGGACGTCACTCTGGTCCCGTACGAACCGAAACTTATCAAAATTAATATGCTAACTTCACCGCATGTAAGTTTCAAATACATCGTTCTATAACACTCTTAATTTTAATTATTATAATCACAAAAAATAACGAGCACAATATTGACGTATCTATAATGTTAAAAAACACAACCAATAAGAAATTGCCTTTAACGATCGAGCTGGATCTTAGATACTAATTGTAATTCCGTGTAAATTTATATATTACGTATGTAGTCTTTTAAACCGCGCGCCAAACAATTTTTCGGTCTTGAAACGCCACTTTACGAAACCATCGCAATAAATATCACGAGTTAAATTATCTAGCAATTTAACAATTTTGCTCATAGCATCTTGGATCTTAATAAAATTGAAGACTACATACGTAATATATAAATTCACACGGAATTACAATTAGCACCTAAGATCCAGCTCGATCGTTAAAGGCAATTTCTATTGGTTGTGTTTTTCACACGTACGGTCCTACAAGATTTAATATTTAAATATATCTATGTGTTACATAGCGGCGTTGGCTAAATAATTACAATAGGCGTATACGGAAAGAAGTCGGCGCAGAGTTAAAAAAGAATTTAAAAATGAAAGCATTTTACTGGATGATGGCGAAAACTACGACCATTCCAGAAACGGACAGCTATTTTTTCTCTGATAATTCTCAAGCAATGCCGTCTACCAATAGGCAATTCCATACTTTAGTTATAATCGTTGCTATTTATCATATTATAAAAAGTAAGCGATATTCGAACACAACTTCATGCATTTGTTACTATTTATTGATTGAAGCTAGAATGATGCATCAATTTTTGTTGCAGATTTCACAAGAATACACAACTAAATTGGGAAATACGTCTATGTTGTCAAATACAATATTTTAAATTACGGACCTTTTTTGCCTTATAGAAGTTACTTTTTTATCGTAAAATATACATCATTTCCAAGATTGATATAGGATATCATATAATTAAATTTAGACAAAAAAACATAGAAATAAACTTTAATAAATTATTTTTCTATATACATATCTGTACTATTTTTGCTTTTTCTTGTCCTTTCTGATCTTTGTTCCTGTATCTAACATGTCTTGAATTGGATCTTCTATTGAATCCAAAAATTGTATAGAAGGCTCTGAATTGTTTGATGAAGCAGTCACATAAAGTTTAAAATACTTCAATATATCATCTAAAAGATACAAATGTATAAATCTATAATTGTTAAACTATAGCTATCAAGCAAATGTAAATCTAATAAATAAACCATGGTTCCCTTTTTTACTGAATGCGTCACCCATCGTGTCGTTGAGAGAGAGGGGTTATGCTTATGTATTAACTTTTCTCTTTCTTCCTTCACGACGCGACGTGTGATGCGCTCAGTGGAAACGCATCCAAAGATTTTATTAAAGAAATAAATAAAAATACAAACCTATTACTTTCTTATCCATTTTATATTCAGAAGCTATACTTTCACTACTATATGTTATAGGATCGCGTTTATGTTGCAAAAGAAATGTGAGAGCTTGCTTTAATGAGCACTTTCCCATAGGAATCACTGTAGGTTCACAAAATTCCAGTACAAAATTATTTTCCGAGCTCTGTCTACTTTGAGGTAACTTGGAGTCTCTCATTGACTCTTTGATCTCCTATACAATATTGCAAATTTTACATTTACCACTTGTATTCAATGAATTTATATTAACATAAGAACATTAATGCAATATTCAAAAATACAAACAAATCAGTTCATACTTGCGGATCTCTTGACGTAACAAAAACATCTTTTAATCGTTGATCCAATTGCATGTTTTTTTGATAATGATCTTCCAAGAAGTGTGGATTTACTGAAATAGAATTACATGATAAGAATCATTAAAGATAGTAGTTTGAACATCATTTTTAAATTATAGTCGTTAAATTATGATTCCGAACATATATGATACCTTGGTCCAAAAGCTTCTTTTGTTTTTCTGTAGTTGCATACTGAGGTGCAGGTATTGGCTTTTCTCGCGAAATAAGTTCTGCCGCACGATTTTCGATGTTAAACGTGCGAATAGGTCGAGTCATTTTCGAATAAATCTTTCCCATGATTCAAGTAACCTACAGTAAAACAAATTATTTACTATAGGTGAGTTCCATTAACGTTCATAACACTTTCAAGCATCATTTATCTTTATTTAACATTATTTAATCAACAATAAGAATGAAATGATTCTATGAATGTTGCAAACATCAAGTGGAACATCCTTATAAATATACCTTGGAATACTACTGTGCTACAATAAATTTTCATCTAAGTTCTAACTCAAATTTGGTACAGTTTATTTATTATTAAAATTTTGAAAAAACGCATCGAATGAGCATAATTTTATTGAGATTGAAGACGAGGAGCGTCTTTTGGACATTTACCAAAATAACATTTAATAAGATCATTAACAAAATTGGTAATTCAAGTCTAATAGTTTTTTCTTATTAAAATTTTAATAACAAAATAATATTTAATAAAATTGTTTCGTATTAAAGTTTGTGGGACAGAGCAACACTTATTTCTGCCAGATTCTTTCATTTCATGCAAAAACGCGTTGAATAAACCTAATTTTATTGATTTTTGAGCTGAGGCAGCCATCCTGTATAATTACCATTTATTTTTTTAATAATAAAATACTGTTAGAATTATTCTACAACCTACAATTTATAAAGTAAACATTAAAAAGTGCAAAAAATTTGTTAATTATGTGGGTGAATACTTACTTATCTAGAGTAGTATTATAAATAAAATAAGTAACATTCGAGGTTTAATTACGGATTATGTGATAAATTATAACATAACATTATTGTTAATTTCAGCTGTAATATACCTCCGCAATCATAGAATGCAAAAGTTTGCAAAACGTGCTTGAACAATAATTATGAAATAACATAAACACATGCTATTAAAAAGAATTCCATTTTGAAGGAAAGATTTTAACCTTTTTACTGCTTTTTGCTCTTGATGCATTCCAAAATTCATCAAAAAGTTGCCCTCGTATGTGCATTCCAAAACTCATTGATTGCGTTCAGCAGAAAATGCCGCTTTGAAACTGTTGTAAAATTTTTGAATACGGTTGGTTTTTGCTTTTGATTCTTTATGGATCTAATGTATAAACCAATCATACTGAAGAATTTTACAACAGTTGCAAAGCTGCATTCTCACTGAACGCAGCCATTGAGTACGATCCACTTACGCTGTAAATAGAGAACCTTGTTTTAGAAACTTTTGATTGACCAATCGGAAGAAAGAATTGTATTAATTGACCAATCAAAAAAAAGCTTCGAAGAATTTGCAGCATCAAGTGGACCGCAACCCCAGACAATAGGCACGTTCAACGTCAAGTTGACAAAGCGGCTAGCCTGCTCACCGAGCAAATGAATATAATTGGTTATTACTTATAGATCCAACCAATCATATTCGATATGCAAGCGTACCTAGCCGCTTCGTCGTCTTGAACTCGCCCAGTGTGTCTCTAGCGCTTTGTGATTCGAAACACATCCTAGGGCTTTAATTGGAATCAGAATCCATATTACTTGATGCTAGTTGGTACAAGTGATTCACGCAAATCGTGGTGAGTTTCGGGTACGCGTCGAGGTGAAACGTCCTACGTACCGTATGTGTTGTTGATCCGAGATATTCACGTTGTTGAAGTTTTTTCTGTACGAAATATGTCACGGCTCTGTGAGGCCTAACGACGGACTGTATATCGGTAAGTCGCTGTGCATATTGTAACGAAGAACAGATACCAAGAGTTTGATGTTATCCTGTAACCGCCAAAACTGTAGACGGAAACGCCATCTTGTGCATTGATGTTTATATTTTCATAAATCGAGCAATATACGCTGTTGATTTTTCATATGCGTTTATGGGTTAGATCGCACACATTCGACATGCAACACTGGATTTCTTTGTATTACTTTATACCAAACGTAAACGTTTTACTCTCAGAGAGAAACACTTCATTGAAATTAGGCAGGATGACATTTGTTAAATGTTTCTCTTTTTAACTGCGTTTATTTTGCTTTTGAACTGAAAGAAACTTGATTTAATTAATTTACTAATTCCACCTTTTTGCAGATAATTAATAGAGAAATCTAAGAATCATGTTTTATGCACATTTTGTGTTGGCCAAAAAAGGGCCTTTGGCCCGTATATGGTTGGCTGCTCACTGGGACAAGAAATTAACAAAGGCACATGTATTTGAGACAAATATAGAAAAATCAGTGGATGGTATATTACAACCAAAGGTAAACATTATTTTAGCAACAAGATCTGACAAAATGCTCTGATACATTATTAAATTCTGTTTATAATATTTCTAATAGGTTAAAATGGCTTTAAGAACATCTGGTCATTTATTACTGGGAGTAGTACGAATCTATTCAAGAAAAGCCAAGTACTTATTAGCTGATTGCAATGAAGCTTTCGTGAAGATTAAAATGGCCTTTAGGCCTGGAATGGTAGATTTACCTGAAGAACACAGAGAGGCAGCTGTAACAGCTATCACTTTGCCAGAAGTATTTCATGATTTTGATACTGCTATGCCTGAACTCAAGTAAGATAATGCTATCAAGTTTTTGCAATAAAATATTTTAGCAGTAAAACGTAAACAATGAGGAAATCAAATATGATTTTCTTACTGCTTGCATTATGGCTTTATATTGTGATTGGCCAATTCACTTATTTTACATTTTACTGCTTAAATTTTTTCATATATCATAATCTTAACAGAGTATTTGTAAATATTTAATATAATTTTTCTTTTTAGAGATGTTGATATAGAAGCTCAGTTTAGTTTGAATCAATCTAGAGCAGAAGAAATAACAATGAGGGAAGATTATGGCAGTCTGTCTTTAGTTACACATGATCAGGGCTTTGGTGACATGAGTTTTGATGCTGAGCCACCAGAGTTGTTAAGACACGGCAGTGGTATGGAACCTTCGTTGGACCAGGTAATCATATATTTGTCCTTTTTTAGTTTTACTTATTTAATACTTTTTATCATTATATAGTAATGAGTAAATTTAAATGTTTTATAAATTTTTGAAGAACGATTATATAATTTAGTATGTAATATAAATATCATAATCGGCTAAACAATCTTTGAATGTAAAAGTATTATTTTTAAAAATATATAAAAGTTCTTATAAAAACATTTATATAAAACGTGTAATTACTCAATCCATAGTTTTGTTCATTATCATATATGTATGTATAATGTAAACAAATGCTTTTAAAAATTTTCTAAGAGTTCAATTTTTGTTAAATAAGCGAAAACTAAACAAATATCAGTTTTTAGTATTTTAAAAAATAATGACATTTTAAGATATTAATTGCTCCAATTTGATTTTAGAGTCACATGTTATTTAGTGATGGGCCAGGAATAGAAGCGGCATTGGAACAGAAGGAAAAAGAGCCAGTTGCAGGGACATCAGCTACAACGCAGCCCATGGACATAGATACACCCATTAGAGACGATGGTTTTGGTGGCCATCTTGGTCAAGATATCATATGTATGATTGAATAATTATTATTCTTTTTATAACTTTGACGTTCGTTTATAATTATTGTCGAAAATGTTTTAGCGGGAGGTCTCTTTGAAGGTGGTTTATTTGATGAAGCTCCAATGGGTGAAGTACCCGTACCTGAAGTTAGTTCGATAAATGAGCAACAGGAAACGGGAACGGTTGCCGGAACTGCTGCTTCTGTACACGATGAGTCTGACGAAGATATGGGTGATCACTTTGGTGGACCAGCTTCTCCAATGGGAGGCATGAGGTATTTATCATTCTTAAGAAATTATTTATGGTAAGATTATAAAATATACAGTCAAGAAAGAAAAATGAAGCAATAATAATCGAAAAATTATTAATAGGACATATATTTATTTAATTGGTCTATTGAATCATCAAACTTTATTTACAATCTTGAATCGCAATCTGGATTTTATGATTGTTTATTGTCAATAAAAATATTAGATAAATCAATTGATTACGTTTTAATCTTTATTGCTTAATTTTCCTTTTTTGTTTTGTTTAATATTGCTTTCACTCTTGTTTGTATATTTTGCTATATACAACTTTGAAATTATACTAATACATTGAATATGTTATGCGTAGCTCTGACGGCTCTAGACCAGCTACACCAGCCGCAGCTGGAGAGGAAATTGAAGGAAGAATTAGCGTTGCCAGTCGGCGCTTTACACCAGCTCCGCCAGTTATACCTGAAGAACATGCCATTGACAACATAGAAGAACCGCCACCTATGCAAGAACAAACCACATTATTACACGATGAAGAAGAAAGCTTTGCACTAGCTCCAATTGATGCATCTGCTTTAAAGGGTAAATTTTTTTTTATTTTAACATTTATATCTTGTAATCAACAAAAAATCATCGGTTTTTCTAGGATTCACGAAAGCCAAGCGCAAGCGTAAACTCATTGTTGATGAAGTAAAAAATATTTCTGGTGAGGAAATGAAAGCACAGCTATCTGATACTAGCGATATTATCACGACGTTGGACTTGGCACCACCTACGAAAAGATTAATGCATTGGAAGGAAACGGGTGGAGTAGAGAAACTCTTTGCTCTACCAGGAAGGCCTATCCCGGCTCGTGTTTTATTTAAAGTAATAATATTTAACATTATGTGACTGGGTCCACAAGAAATTAACTAATCATAGTTAAATGCGAGAAAAATAATCTACTGTGATTGGTCAATTTCTTACGGCTTTATGGCTTAGGGCTTCTTAAAGCGAGATTGTGGACCCAGTCTATATGATTGCTTGAGTAACAAATTTTGGAAACTTATATAGTGTAAATATTTCATTTTTTAATTATTAAACAGAATTATCAGAGACATTTGACCAGCAAGTCTTACGATCATGAAGACTTCGGGCGACTTGGAACTGAAGAAGATGGAATGTCTTTAGAACAAATGAGAGATGCTCCAGAAGCAGAAGTAGCTTCTTATGAACAAAGTATTCTCAATAAACGTATAGGACGAAAACGAAAAGCACCACAGGATGATGAGGTTAGTCATTATAAGTGATAAAAAGGAGAGATTTCTTTAAACAATGAAACACAATTGGCAGAATTTTAATGGAATATTGTAATATAAATGTAAATATCATTACTATGTTTAGATAAAGCAACCTCCTCAACCTCCTCAGCCAACTCCAGTAGAGATCAATCAACCAAATGAATCGGAAATTCCAAACATAATCACACAACAGAATCTTTCTTCAGAATCGCCTATGCCATCAGAAATATCTTTACCAGTAGAACCATCGGTTTCCGACATAAGCAGTATTGTGCCTTCTGGGGAACCATCAGTTGTACCACCAACTACTGAAACGCCTTTGCTCGGCTCGGAAATGCCGCAAATCGCACCAGCTGAAGTTAGCTCGATACTTGGCACACATGAAGAACAAGTATCTGCACAAGAAGAACCAGCCACTGTACAAACAGCCGATATGCCACAGATGGAAAACATGGGATACGACCAAGTGAGTAGAAAAATTTTGATTTTATAATTAATACATTTTAAAAACTACGTCCTTGCCTTGTAATCATTGCTTCAATGTTTCCTTATAAATCTAGAGAGCGCTTGTACATTTAATATAAAAACTTTTATTAATTCTGCACAATTTCAATAGGCACAACCACAAGTTTCATATATGGGCTATGACGAACAACATCCTCCAGCACATACGCCTGGTGCGATTTCTGAAAGAGGACCTGCCACACCATGGAACCACGAAGATTATGAGTTTCCACCATCAGTGGGACCTGTAATTTACTTTAATATTATTCATAAAATTATTTTATTGTATA